GGGAGAGGGGGCTGCATGGGAACAGCTCTACCTAAAGGGAGACGCACCCTCCCTCCTCGCACTCCGGTCCCGCCTCGGCTCCCCGCAGGCCGCCAGCAGCGCCGGGCGGTGGTTCCTGGTCTGCTGAGAGCTTTCCGGCCACACTCCTGGTCCCCACAGGCCTCCGCCCCGGCCGCAGCCTCCTGGCTGGGCGGCGCCGGCTCCCAGCGCAGGGGGCTTGGCCGGCGGCGGAGCAGGCAGAACCACGCTGTCGGAGGCTCTCCGGTGTCAGAGCCAAGCCTCACCCCGTCTCCGAAGCTGCTCCAAACCACGCGGCTGAGCGGCCGCCAAGTTAACCTCCTCCAGCGACTTCGACGGCCGGCCGAGCACGTCTGGCGCAGCGGCTCCCCGGCCAGGGCGCTCTCGCGGCCGCCAGCTGGAGCGTCTGGTCCGGGTCCACGCGGAGCGGAGCGGCCTCATCAGATTCCTCGAGGGACGGGACAGAGCGGGAGCAGGAGAGAGGAGATGCCCCCTCCCCGCGGCCCCAGGGCCTGGACGGCCGCCCGCAGAGGTGTCCAGCGCGGAAGCTTCCGGCGCGGCCGCGAGAGCGGGGTCCGGCCGCACAGAGAAGGCCGCGCTCGGAGAACGCCGCTCTGTCCAGGCCGGCCGCTCCCTCCCGCAGCCCCGCCAGCGCCGGGCTCAGGTGGAGCAGCGCAGGAAGAGGCGTGCTGGGGGCAGAGGGGGAGGGCTTGGGCTGGGGGCCCCGTGAGGGTTGGGGGGCCGTGCTACGTCACCCGCATTCCTGAGGCCAGAGGACACAGCAGGCCTCTTCCAGGGAGAAGCGGCCAGACGGAGGTCGCTGTCCCAGGGGGGAAACTGAGGCACGAGGCCACCTGGAGCGGGGCTGGTAAACTGCTCTTAAAGGGCCAGGCTCTAAATAGAGCAGGTGTGTGCTGGCCTCCCCGTTGTAACAGGAAACGGGTGGCTGTGTGCCAGTAAAACTTGATTTGCAACAACAGACGCAGGCCTGTGCTGTGGTCGGCCGGCCCCTGGCCTGGAGGTTCGAGGTGAGAAGACCCAGGAGCCATCGCCGGAGGGGAGTCCCCCTGGGGAGGCTCTGGTTAGAGATTAAATCTGTTCTTACAAGATTCTGTCATCGCACACAGGCCCGCCTCGCCCTCCACGGTCCCCGCGCCCCGGCCCAGGCTCCAGGGCTGCGGCCGGGCAGGCCCGGTGGACAGCGGCTCAGGCTCCCTCCGTCCACCTGCACCCAGAGGAGAAGCTCCGCACTGAGCAAAGGCCGGTCCCGTGCCCCCGACACCAGCCTCCAGAGGCCCCACACAGACTCCGAAGCCCGGGGCGGGGACCGTCTGCCCCTCGCCCTCGCCCTCCTCCCGCGGGCGCGCTCCGGGACCAGCCTCAGGCCCCACACAGACTCCGAAGCCCGCCTCAGGGCCCGGGGTGGGCAGCTGGGAAGGCCTATGGAGCAGAGGGCAGCGCCTTCATTTTCTCTCTCTCACACACACACACCCCCGCCCCACACGCTGAGCCGCAGGTGCTGCTGGGAACACGGCTCCTCAGTCCCGGCTCCCAGAGGAAACTGTCAGCGTCCCATCCGGGCCCTGCTCAGTGTCGCCACTTCCACTGGACTTCCCGGCCTCGGGAATAACCCGAGTTCAGCCGACTTCATCCAGAACGGTGACAACGGTCCCCTCAGGCCGTCCGGACAGCACAGACAGTGGCCACAGCGGCCAGGGGGTCACGTGAGATCCCAGCTGCTGTCCTGGGCAGCACTGACCCGAGCAGCTCCCTGTCCCACATCAGAGCCCGCGTCCAGGGCCGGTCCCATCACGGTCACCACGGCCCACAGGGGAAGACTGCCTCGGCCACCCTCAGCCCCATGAGGCCAGCCCCGCTCCCCCCAAGCTTAAGGGGTCACCAAGATGGGATGGGCCTGGGACCCTAAGCCCCGCCCATTGGAAAAAAGCATGGGCCTCGAAGCAATGCCTGGCCTTGCCGTGTGGCCTGTGAGCTCAGCACTGCACACAGCCGGTGCTCCCTCAGTGCACACGGGGGGCCTGTGAGCTCAGCACTGCACACAGCCGGTGCTCCCTCAGTGCACACAGGGGCCCGTTAGCTCAGCACTGCACACAGCCGGTGCTCCCTCAGTGCACACGGGGGGCCTGTGAGCTCAGCACTGCACACAGCCGGTGCTCCCTCAGTGCACACGGGGGCCCGTGAGCTCAGCACTGCACACAGCGGCACTCCTCAGTGCACACGGGGGGAGGCGGGGGGAGAACAGCGCCCAGGCTGGAGCTGCCGGAGCTGCTGGCTGCAGAGGCTCAGGCCCCCGCTCCCCGAAGGCGCAGCCTGGAGCCACGCGCCGTTTTCCAGGAAATGGGAGGCGGCCGCCAAGCTCCCGGCCCGGCTCCTCTGGCACATGCTGCCTGGCCCGTGGCCTCCTGGGCCGTCCCACCGCCTGGCGCGCACTGCTGGAGGCCTGGGGCCTGTGGGGGTCAGCCGTGCAGTCCTGGCTCGGAGCCGGGTGGGGACGGACCACAGCCCGGCCATGGGGATCCCGCTGCCTTTGCTGCCGCGGCCACCAGCTCGCCGCTCTCAGCGAGCGCAGAGCCCGGCCGCCGCCCCTCCCCAGCCTCCGCGGGCCCGGGTCCCAGCGCGTGGATCTCAGCGGCACGGAGCCTGTCGCCGGGCCTCCCTGCTCTCAGTTCCCGCCCAACCCCGGGGCCAGAGGACCCTGCTCCCAGCCCCGGGAGGGACCCAGCTCAGCTCCTCGGCTCCAGCCCCGCGGCCGGCCACACGAGCCCAGCCCCAGGCGTGGTGGCCGAGACCCCAAAGCTGCACCGGGCCCTCCCGGCAGCGCCCGTGGAGCAGACTCAGGAGCACCGACCGGGCCTGAGTGTCTCACACCAATGGCCTTTTTAATCCTGCCCCGAGGATATGTCTCCAGTGACTTTTAGAGAGAGTGGAAGAGAGAGGGAAAGACAGAGACACACACATCGACTGGCTGCCTCCTGCTCAAGCCCAACCAGGGCCCGGGCAGGAGGAACCTGCAACCGAGGTACGTGCCCTTGACTGGAATCGAACCCGGGACCCTTTAGTCTACAGGCCCACGCTCTATCCACTGAGCCACACCTGCTAGAGCTGCACACAAGCCATGTCGTTATTTTACAGCCGATGCCACGAGGCAAAGGAAGGGAGGGGAATGTTAACAGCGTTCTCGTGGGTCTCCATCCCACTCGACTACCTGCACCTGGCCCAGCCCTGCTTACCGCAGCCTCTCGCTCAGGCACGGGGGCCAGTGTTCCGACACAGGTTCACGCTCACAACCACAGCTGTTGGCTGTCACGGAGCTGGGAGGCTCTCCCTCCACGCTGGGCCTTGTACGTGGCCCCGAGGGGACTGTGCCCCCTCGTCAGCCCGAGGCCTGACCCTGTCCAGACGCTGTGGCTGCTCTCCACGGCCGAGGACGAGGGCGGAGCCTGTCCCCCGGCACAGGCCCCGCTGCAGCCCGGCCCACTCGCTGTCCCTGCCCTGGCAGCTACAGTGCCGGGCAACCCCACCCTCCTCCGTGGGCCCAGGAGTCCAGCTGATCAGAGGCGAAGGCCGTGGCTGACCCTGCCCCCCGCGTTCCTGTGCGCTCCTCCCTCCTCTCCCAACAGCAAAGCGACGGGTCGGCATCGGCCAATCGATGCCAGTGACGCGAGCAGAGGGCGACGCAGCGGGGGGAGGGGACCGGGGTCTCCAGGGGGCACCGTGGGGGTGCTCCTGCCTGCTTCTGGGTCAGGGTGGGCTGTGGACCTGAGATCCTGCACCTCTTCTTTCTGGGGGGACGGCCAGGCTGGGAGGGGGACCGGGAGAGAGGAAGCGCTCCGGGTCGGAAGCGGCACGTTCCTTCCGGAATGAACCGGGCCGGAGGGCGGAGCAGCCCTGGCCGCCAGGGAGTGGCCTGCCGAGCCGGCCCAGAGGCGGCCAGGGCTGCCGGGCAAGGCCGAGCGCTCACGGCCGCGGGCTCCCTCCGGCAACGCCAGTGCTCACAGACCGGAGGCAGCGCGGCCGGGCCGGGCCGGGCTGGGCCCCCCGGACGCCGGGGCCTCGAGCGCCTGGTTCTCCCCTCGCACCTGCCGGCCCTGCCGCCTGGCCTCACTGCCCTCCCGCCTCCCAGGGAACCGAACGCAGCGAACTCCGGCTCAGAGACCTCCTGACAAGGGCATCGCTCCGAGTTCATCTCGTTCAGGCCAAGGTCAGGGTGAGGCCGGGCAGGGCTCTGAGACGGCGGGGACAGCCGAGTGACGGGCATGTGGCCCGAGGCCGCCTGGCGCACAGCCCGCCGGCACAGAAGGCGGCATGGGGACCGTGGCCCAGCGCCTTGCTGGCCTCACAGGTTTCCAGTTTAATCAGAGAATAAGGCCTCGGCCACCTCTGGTCATCTGAAGCCAGAGCCCAGCCCTAACCGCAGGACCAGCCTGTCCGAGGGCGCAGGTCCGGCCTGTGAGCATCCTCATGGCCGCTGCGGGGAGGCCCCGCCAGGCCCTCAGCGCCCAAGGGAGGGGCACCAGGGTTTGGTGTCACCGCTCTGCTCGCCAGCACCTGCCTCGCACCCCCTGCCTGTGCCTGCACCCCGCACTGTTCACAGGGACAACCTCTGATTCCAATGGAGAAAAACCGACACTCGGACAAAAACCTCGCCCGGCCTGTGTGGCCCAGTGGTCGGGCATCAACCAAAGAACCAGGAGGACAGGGGTCAGGATTCGATGCTGGTCAGGGCCCAGGCCTGGGTTGTGGGAGGCAGCTGGTCCACGATTCTCTCTCATTATGGATGTTTCTCTCTCCCCCTCTCCCTTCCTCTCTGAAACCCACAGAACATGTATTTTTTTTTTAAATCTCACCTTTCTTTGGACAGGATTTAAGATACGAGGCGAACCCCCACTCCCGAGGGCCTGTGAGACGTGCCCGCGGCCCCCGCGGCCCCCCCACCGCCCCGGCAGGCGCCAGGCCCTTACCTGCGCCATCTTGGCCAGGTCCAGGGAGGGCCTCGGCTCAGGCCCCTCCTCGGGGCGCCGCCGCTTGACGCCCGCCTTCCTGTCGCTGAGGACGCAGGGCTGCGAGCGGCTGCGGGCCAGCCCGCCGGGGCGCCGGGCCAGCTTGGGCGTGGAGGCGGGCGAGCTGCAGGCCGAGAGCTCGGCGAAGGCGAACTGCTCGTGGGAGCAGGACCGGGAGCGCTGCATGTCCAGCCGCCCGCCCGCGGGGCCCCGGCCCGGGCTCCAGGGGTCCCCCGGGCCGGCCTGGCCCCCCGGGCGGCGGGGCGAGGCGGCGGGGTCGCCGGGCGAGGCGGGCGAGGCGCGGGCGGCGGGCCGGGACGGCAGGCTGAAGCTGGAGCTGCGCTGCACGGGGCCCGGGCCGGCCGCGCGGGGCACGCTGCCCCCGCTCAGGCAGCGCCGCTTCTCCACGGGCGTCCAGACGCGGGAGCCCAGGGGCCGCCAGGACGGCCGGCCGCCGGACAGCCCGTCGGAGAAGGACAGGGAGCGGCACTGGCGCTTGCTGGGCGGCGCGGAGGGGGTCCCGCGGCGGTCGCTGAGGCTGAGGTCCCGGATGAGGCTGGTCACGGTGCCCGCGGAGGCCGCCTCCGGGGGCCACAGCGCGCCGTCCGGGCACCGCGCGGGCAGGCGCTCCCAGAGGCCGGCGCTCGGCGCGTCCATCTGGAGGGGACACTTCCTGTCCAGGTCGCGCCATCTGTCATTTTCTGGATCAAAAGTGACGAAGAGAAAACGGGCGTGAGCGGCCCTCACGCCAGCCAGCCGCTCCTTCCTCTCCGGGAGCCGGCTTCCCCGGGGAGGCCCCCCTCACGGAGGAGATACGGCTCCGGAGGGACCGCAGCCCTGGGCACCGAGCTGGAAGCAGAGCAAGGCCCCAACCAGGACCCGGGCCCCGTGTGGCTCTTCCCAGCACACTGATGCCCCCAGGGGACCCCAAGCAGTCCTTCCCCCTCACCCCAGTGCCTCTCCCTTACGATGGAAGCCCACCGCCCGCCCGCCCCGGGGCAGAGCTGGGCACCGCCCGCCGCATGGGCAGGGCTCTCGGGCTGGGACTCAGCCCTGGCCGCCGGCCGCTACCAGATGGGTGCCTCAGGGGTCAGGGTTCCTGGGGCTGGGGATGCTGCCTGGGTGCCTGACCTGAACCCACCTTAAAAAAATATATATATATATATATTATTGATTTTTTACAGAGAGGAAAGGAGAAAGATAGTTAGAAACATCGATGAGAGAAACACTGATCAGCTGCCTCCTGCACATCTCCTACTGGGGATGTGCCCGCAACCAAGGTACATGCCCTTGACCGGAATCGAACCCGGGACCTTTCACTCGGCATGCCCATGCTCTATCCACTGAGCCACACTGCCTAGGGCCCAAATCCACTTTGAAACACTTGCTGACAACAGAAACAGGTGTTTTATTGATTTACGTCCCACCCACCAAAATGCCCCACAGCAAAAAGCCCAGCTGCCGATCATCGAGCCATCCATCCCTGGCCTCCAACTTCTCCTCTGGGACCAGGTGCCACGGGGCCAGACGGTCCGGGCAAGCGGCCGACTGAGAAAGGAGCCACGGTGGCCCCTGCTTAAGCTGCACCCATAGAATGGCCTCTCCCGGCCCGTCCTCAGAGCACCCGCCTCCTGTCGCGTTTCCCTGGAATTTCCCCGTCTCTAGGGAATCGCGGAGGAAGGGGAATTGGGAGTCGGTGAGCGTGGCCACTTTGCTCCGCCGTGCCATCCCGTGGGCTGGGGCCTCGGGGCCTCTCTGGCCTCCCGCCTGGTCAGTCCCACGTCCTCGCCGCCTTCAGAGGAGCTCCCAGGCCCACCCCTGCCATAGCCTGTCCCCTCCGGCCGCTGCCCTCGGCCCTGCAGAGAGCACACCTGTGACGTCAGGAGGCAGCCGAGGATCAGGCCGAGTCAAAATCACCTGTGAAAATACAAAAAAAACCCTGCAGGTCCTTCTCAGGCACCAGAAGTTCAGTGTGAGACTGAAGCTTGGCCCGGCCAGGAGTCTGTGCCTGAGCATCAGCTCACGAGCCAGGAGGTCGAAGTTCGATGCTGGGTTGCGGGATCCTCCCCAGTAGGAGGTGGGGTATGCAGAAGGCAGACAACCAATGACTCTCATCACTGATGCTTCTAGCTCTCCCTCTCCCTCTCCCTTCCTCTCTCTGAAATCAATCAATAAATATATTTTTTTAAATAGAAAAAACAAACAAAAAAACCCTGAAGTTTGATGAACCGACTGCAGCAATGAGGACGGGAACTTCCATCGGAAGGCGGGCGTTCTGTTTGTTTCCAGGTTAACCACAGACCCCACGGGGACGGCTGCAAGGCCATCTGAGGTGCCCGCCGCCTGGGGGAACCGCCTACTCTCCCGGTTCTCTCTCCAGGGGGAGAGAACCGGTCTGCAGGAAGCAGCGAGTGACAAGTGCAGACAGAAGCTCAGAGCAGGCCCAGGCTGTGTGCTTGGTCTCACTTGTCTTTTTTTTTTTAATTAACATTTTTATTGATTTCAGAGAGAAAGGAAGAGGGAGAGACATCAATAATGAGAGAGAATCATGGATGGGATGCCTTCTGCACGCCCCCTACTGGGGATGGAGCCCATAACCCGGGCCTGGGCCCTGACCAGGAATTGAACCGTGACCTCCTGGTTGCTAGGTCGATGTTAAACCGCTGGGCCAGGCTGGCCGGGCCATCCGCCCTGTCTTTGCACCCAGCACACAGCCCCTTCCCAGGCCAGGCCGGCCCAGCCTGTGGGTCCCCGAAGCCCCGCCCCCAGGGCCGGGGACAGGTGTGCGGGGACAGGTGTGCGGGAAGCAGCGGGAGACGGCTGAGGACTGGCCTCTAAGGTACCGTCCCACAGGGCCCCAGGCGCCGAGCACGGCTCTGGAGCGTCTGTCAACACAGGCAGGTGGCCTGGCCGCCAGCGGGCAGATAACCTCACTGTTCTATCTTTATCCTCGGAGAATGTGTACGAACAGCAACAATGGGCGATGTTTAGCCTGGTGTGTGTGTGTGTGTGTGTGTGCGCGCGTTTCCCCCTCCGCTCAGGGGACGGAGATCTGGTCGGCCACCAGACAAGGAAGACAGGAACAGAAGGTGATTTCGGCCTGACCTCACGCTGCGCAGAGGAACGGGCGGCTGGAGAGGGGACTCCGGACACCCGCCCTCCCTCCTGTCACTCCTGCACAAACCACAGCGACCGAGGCCACCGACTCGGGTCCGCGGAGCCGCAGCACGAGGGGGCTGGAAGGGTGCGGCCAGCGCTGAGCTCAGCTCCGCAGGCCCTGCCTGCAGCCTGGGGCCCTCACCGGGATGAGGTGACAGCAGTGGGGGGTCAGTCCCTGCGGCTGCACTGGGACGGGAGCCTGTATGCTGCACACCGGATCCTCAGTGTGGTTTCGGGGCCCCCGGCGAGAGCGTATTTTGGGGTGTCTGTTAGAGTGCAGAGCCCTGGCTCAGTCCCTGACTTCCAAACGAGCTCTGGGGTGGGAGCCGGCATGTTAGTTCGCTGCCCAGGCGATTTCCTGTGAGAGGGCGAGAGCCCGCCCGGGACCCCTCAGCCCGCAGCCCGGAGCGCTGCCCCGGGAAACGTCGGGTGGACGGCCGGTCCCCGCACAGCCGGGCGCTGAGCCGCTGCCCGGCGTCCGTGCTGCTGTCGTGTTGGGCCGACAGCAAAGCAGAACCACGGGGGAACAACCCCACCTCCACCCCCAGGTGCCTTTCTCGGCGGGGAGGGGGGGCCCAGTGGCACAGGTGTTCTGGGGGAGCCCACAGTCTGTGAGCAGGGAGGGACTGCCTGCCTCCCCCAGCACCTGTGGCTTCTCAGGGAGCTTTCTAACACCACGCTCCGCAGATGTCAGATGTGGGCTCCGGGGTGGGGACACACACACACACACACACACACACACACACGCCACCAGGCCTGTGAGCTCAGGGAGGTTGGGCACCCCAGTTCCAGGCCATCCCTACAGGAGCATCGAGTGTCCCTGTTTCCCTGCCGAGCCCATCTTTGGGGGCTGAGGTGTACACAGGAGTGTGTGGGAGCCATGTACTCACAGGGCCTGCCTACAGATGGGGGGGGGGGGGAGCCTGGACAAACACACAGAAAGCACAGGCGCCATCCGGCTCCCCCACTGGCACACAGGCCAGGGGCCGCCCAATGCCTGAGACTGAGCTGGGAGCAGCCTCTGCCCCCGCCATCCCCAGCAGACGGGGTAAGGGGACCCCAGCTCTCACGGGCCCGGTGCTGAGGCGCCTGACGGAGGGCGAGGCCTCGGGGTGCAGCGAGCACGAGCTCGGAGGAGGAAACACGCCGAGCATCACACGCAGCCTTTAACCCCAGACGCTGCTCCATCTGCCCTGCCCCGGCCGGGGACGTCCCCGGGCCCACACCTCCCAGGTTCCCAGGCAGGGGACGCGTGGCCGGGTCTCTGTGCCCGCCACGGGCGCCGCCCACGGCGATGCCCACGGCAGCACCAGCTGCCAGAGAAGGCCCGTGATGCGCAGCTCCAGGCCGAGCCGGGCGGGGCCTCCGCACACCCAGGCGCCGGCTCCTCAGGGAGTTCACTCCCAGGCGCTGGCTCCTCGGGGGAGTTCACTCCCAGGCGCCGGCTCCTGGGGGGAGTTCACACCCAGGCACCGGCTCCTCCTGGAGTTCACTCCCAGGCGCTGGCTCCTCGGGGAGTTCACTCCCAGGCGCCGGCTCCTGGGGGAGGAGTTCACTCCCAGGCGCCCCGGCTCCTCGGGGAGTTCACTCCCAGGCGCCGGCTCCTCATCGTGGGAGGCCCGGCCTGCCCTGCGTGGCTCAGCTGCTGAGCATTCACCCGTGAACCAGAGGTCAGGGTTCATTTCCGGTCGGCACAGGCCCGGGCTGTAGACTCAATCCCCAGTGGGGGCGTGCAGGAGGCAGCCGGTCAATGATTCTCTCGCCATTGATATTCCTCTCTCCCCCCCCCCGCCTGTGAAATCAATAAAAAATATGTATTTTTAAAAGCTACCACATCTCAGAGAGAAATCTTGGTTCCCCCGCGGACACCAATCCCGAGCGGCCCCGGGGGCCCCTTCAGGCAGGAGGAGACGTCACAGCCACGAATCAAACACGGCCGAACGGGCTTGTAATTAAAACGCTGTGGTACTTTTACGATTCCTTTCTATGCATAATGTATGGCCCTCACACTGCCTGTGTCCGCAGCCTGGGGAGTGATTTACATTAATAAATAATTTATTGCCGTAACTCCTGAAGTAATTATGGGTTTCCATCCGTTTTTTTTCTCTTCAGCGGACGAATGGTTTGCTCTGTCCGCAGACTGGTTTCCACGCCTCTTCCCAGCGGCCTTCGCTGCGGCCACTGGGAGCGCGCGTTCCCGGGACATCGATTCCCAGGCCTTCTCCTCGCCCGGGGGCTGAAGCGAGTGGGCCGTGTAGTGTCCACTGTCCCTGCAACTCGGGCCTCATTATACGGGGGCAACTGACGGGGGGAGGGGGGCGTGGGAAGCAGCCTGCTCTCACCCCCACTTGCCATTTCACCAAAGAACATTCAACCAGTCCAGGATGGCTGTCATGTGACCAAGCACTTCCCACGGCAAGTGATGGGGGGGAGCCGAGCACCAGGGTGGGGCAGCCCCGCCTCTCCCAGCACGTGGGGTCCTCCCCTTGCGCCCCCACTAGAAACCCCGCCGGCCAGGCCACACCCAGGAAGCGGCCGCTGGACCCAGGTTTCCGGTATCAAACACACTAACAGCCGCGGTGGCTCTGGCCCCACAGGTGCGCTGAGGACGGGCTGGTAACCAAGAAACCGAGGCGCAGGTGGCTCTGCTGGAGGCAGCCCCGGGGACAGCCCCGGCTCCCCTCGGCGCCTCCCGCCCACACCTCGCCCGCCTCTGCTCCCTCCTCCCCTCCCTGTGGGAAAGCACAGACCACTTCTCTGTATCGAGTTCCCAAATGTGGGAGGGGGGGGGGGGCACAGAGGGGCAGGGGGCCTTCGCTCCCGCTCCTGGGACAGAACGGAGTACTTACAGCGACGCGGGGTGAGCCCTGGACGGGGTGAGGGAGGCTTTTCTGTCTGTCTGTCTGTCTGTTTTATGCTAATCCTCACCCGAGGGTGCATTTCCAATGATGCTTTTAGAGGGAGTGGAAGGGAGGGGGAGAGACAGGGAGAGACATGGATATGAGAGAGACACGTCGATGGGTTGCTTCCTGCATGAGCCCGGACCATGCCCTCAACAGGAATCGAAGCCGGGACCCTTCCGTCCACGAGGCACGCTCTCTCCACTGAGCCACACTAGCCAGGGCAGCGAGGCATTTTGCATTTCACCTGAGCGGGTGCCGAGGAGGCTGTGCTCCTGCAAAGGGCGGCTTTGAAAGAGGAAGCGAATAGGCTGAGGCCCTCCAGCCCAAAGGCACCCTCGGGGGAACCTCAGCGAGGCCCTGCGCGGACCTCGGGGAGTGACGGAGCTGCGGGCCCAGCTGCCAGCTCTCCCCGGAGACCCCGGGACCAGGCCCAGGCCACGGGCCCTGTATCTCCAGGAGACAGGCAGGGGGTGGTGATTGTAAAGATGTGGCGTTTATCTCTGCCGCGCATTGTCAGGCTCCGGAAGGACCCAAACCCCAGGGACAGTCTGGCCGGACCCGAGCGGGGAGGCACGCCCGAGATGAAATCGAGCTGCGGGATGCCCTCCCGGCCCGGCCCGGCCCCGGGCGAGGCCACGCCTCCATCCGGCTGAAACGGGCAGAGGGGCACCGGAGCGGCCAGGGCGGGAAGGCAGCAGGCAGGAGGGCCTGAGCCTCCGGTTCCTGCAAACACCGCCATCGGCATGATGAGCAGACCGAGGCTCGGAGGCCGGCTCGCTCTCCCCCCGCACCCAGCACCGCCGGCCGGAGCTGCTCAGGGAGGGCCCAGCGGAGCAGCAGGCAGTGCGCGGCCGGTGCGTCGGGAGGGCTGAGCAGAGGAGATAAGCTCCTGGGGGAGAGACGCCAAGGGGAAGGACCAGGGCACTCCACACCCCTGCTCCCCGCGCTCCCTCCTGCAGGCGGGGCCTGTGTGGGCTGCAGAGCAGGAGCAAGGCGGGACCCGGGGGGCAGATCCCCCACCTGCTCTGCCGGGCCCTGGGCCGGGGGAGGAGGCCTCCATAGGAAGCAAAGCGCAGGCTCCCAGCTCAGCCCGGCTTGCATCCGGAAGGCTCCGTCTCTCTACCTGACTGTCCCAGGGCCTCTGCCGGCTCCCTGGGCCTGAGGGTCTCCCCCACAGCGACTGCCTCACCTACACTCGCTCCCCAAGTCCCTGTTTGGACTGGCGTCTCCTGCAGGGACCGGGAAGCCTGCTTTAGGCTCCGCCCTCTTCCTCACCTGTCAATCACAGTGCTCACCTGGCCAGCCTCCTCACGGGATCTCACACAGCCGCCCAGCAAGCCCACAGGCAGGTGCTGTCCGAGTAGCCACTCAAACATTTTTTGTCGTTAGTCCTCACCCAAAGATATTTTTCCATCCACTTTTAGAGAGAGTGGAGGAGAGGGGGAGAGACGGAGAGAAACATCGACGGGAGAGAGGCACATGGATTGGTTACCTCCCGCATGCACCCCGACCAGGGCCAGGGCCGAACCTGCAACCTAGGTACATGCCTTTGACCAGAATCGGACCCAGGACCCTTCAGTCTGCCGGCAGATGCTCTATCCACTGAGCCACACCTCCTAGGGCCATAGCAGCCATTTCACTATGGGGAAACTGAGGCTGAGAAAGGTAAGCTGTTCAGGGCAACTACCGTGTTTCCCCGAAAATAAGACATCCTCCGAAAATAAGACCTAGCGCGTAGAAAGATAAGACATCCCCTGAAAATAAGACCTAGCGCAACTTTGGGAGAAAAAATTAATATAGGATACTGTCTTATTTTCGGAGAAACAGGGTATCTGCCCCACCTGGCTATGGTGCTCGAGGCTCTGAGGCCCGGGAAGCCGAGAGGGCGGCCCTGAGGGGGGGCTGGCCCTCCACCGCCCGGGTCCCAGTCCAGCCGGCTCAGAGCTGAAGCCCGGGCCGGGCCGAGGGGCCGGGCCGAGGGGGCCTCCCTCCAGCTGCGCAGGGCAGTGTGGCAGGATGGGCCCTGAGGCCGGGCCGCTGAGGTTTGTAACCACCTGGAGGGGTGTCCACTGGGGGCCTGTGTGGGGACGGGTGAGCCAGGCCAGGGGGTCCCGCTGCCACTTCCTCTGCTGGCCACGCCCGCCTCGCTCTCCGCTCTCCCTCCCTGTGGCCTGTGACTGAGAAGAAGGCAACTCCTCCCCCCGACCCGGCCGGCTCTGCCCACGGGGCCTGGGGCACCTGGCGAGGCCCAGGTCTCCCCCAATGAGAGCAGCCGGACGCTGCTGCCTCACCGAGGCCCTGCGGGAGGGGCGTGGCCCCGCACCCAGCGCCCGCAGCCCCTCGGCAAGTGGCCTTTGGACACCCCGCAGGGAGGCTGAGGAGGGGCCCGCGGAGGCAAACGCATCGGAAAGCCCGGGGCCGCCTCCTGGGAGCCGGGACAGACGGAGAGGAGACCGGCGGCGCTCCGAGCAGGAGGGGTCCCAGCCCTTTTCCCCTATTTTAACCCCCACCCGAGGGTGTTTTCTCTAAAGATTCTTAGAGCGGAAAGGAGGAGGGGGAGAGAGAGAACCGAGCCGAAGCTGTGGCCCTTCGGAGTGCGGGCCGACACGCTAACCGCTAACCACACGGGCCAGGCCCTCCCGGCCCCTTTGGAAGAAGTCATTCCCGCTCCCGTGAGAGCGAGGGGGACCAGCGCTCTGGACGGGGCGGGGGGAGGATGGAGGTCCCAAGGAATCACCCAGAAGCAGATGCAGCTTCCACGCCGGTCAGTTACACCAGCCACCCCAGCCCCGTGCCACCAACCAGGGGCGTGTCCGGCCCCGAGCGTTCACGCTGCCGATGACCCCGGCGAGTGAGAAAAGCACCAGGGTTGGTTTGTTTGTGGTTTTAATGCCCCTGTGCTCGCCCTGGGCTGGGCTAGAAGACTGCGAAGAGCAGACAGGCACCGGCGTGGTGTTCCTGCGGGCGGGGGCGGGGGCCGGGCCGGGGCCGGGGCAGGCTTTGTCCTGTGCTCACCGCGGTGCGCTCGGCAGCAAACAGCCCGCACCGAGCTCGGCAGCAAACACCGGCACCGCGCTCGGCAGGCGGAGGCTCGGTGTGTCCGCACCGGAGCGGCACTGAGCCTCACTCCGGCCCAGGCCAGCAGCCCGCACCGCGGGCCCACGCCACCCGGAGGACACAGGCCCGGGGGTGGGGGGACACGGGAAGGGCCGCCCTCGGTGACTCACCCATCCCTCCGCAGGAGAACAGGGTCGGGCCGTGGCTCATCTTCTCCGGCGGGCGCTGCAAACAAGCAGAAAAGCCGTCAGTCTCCGGCCTCAGAGCCGGTGCCCGGGAGGGAGCGTGGGGGAGGAGAGGGACAACGCCTGTCCACCCCGCGGCCCAGCTCTCCGTCCGAGTCTCCGGGGGTCACGGAGTCTGGGCCTCCAGCGCCACGAGAAGGCCGTGACCTCTGACCCCGGCCTCTCCGTGGAGGGATGCGGAGGGGTGAGGGAGGACGGTGATGTGTGCAGGTGCCGGGGTCGGGGCTGGGAGCGGAGGGACCTCACGGGGGCAGGAAGGACCCCGAGGGGAGGGCCGAGGCGGAGGCTCGCAGGCTGTCCTTGCTCTCGACGCATAGCGTACGGGGTGGCTCCCTTCCCACGGGGGCTTCTACCTCGCCCCCACCCCCCGCCAGGGCAGAACGCCAGGGCCCCGGGGAGAACAGGCCAGGGGGCCCAGCAGAGCTCCCTGCGCCCGCGGGCCCCCTCAAGAGGCCTGTGCTGGCCTCCGGGGGGAGGGGGTGCGTGCGGCCGCAGGGAGAACTCCAGACTGTCACTCCCCTCCCCACCCCTCCACCCACCTGCACCACCTGCGGCGGGCTGTGGGGGCTGAGGGCGCAGCGGGGAGAGAGGGTCCCAGCCCGGGAGTCGCCGGACACGGAGGCCCTGACTCCCGAGGGGAGCCCAGGCCTGGCCCTTTAAGGCCGGGGAGGACGAGGGTGGGGCCCACTGGGAACACCTGGCCCACCCAGATAAGAGGGGTGCGAGCGCAGGGCACCGGTCCCCACCCTGTCCCAGGCCGTGAGGGACCTTTGCCCTCAGTGTGTGGCCAGGGGCACCGGGGGCCGCCGGCCGCCGTGGCTCCCAGGAAGCTCACGTTGCGTGGACGTCACAGCCACGTGGACAAACCACGACCCCACAGGAAGTGGACCGGAGGGGAGGGACCCACCCTGAGCGTGCTGGGGGCAGGGCTGGCTTTGGGGGGAAACTGGTGCTGAGGGGCCAGAGGAGTTTACGAGGGAAAAAGGGGTGCAGTCCTCCCCGGCCTTAAAGGGCCAGGGCCTGGGCTCCCCTCGGGGGTTTCCACCTGTTTTTTCTTTCTAGCGGACGAGAGGGAAATAAAAAGGAATCGAGGCCCCATCGTGCTTCCTGCGCCCCGTCTGCGGCTGGGCCGCCAGAGCACCCCACCCCACAGCCTTCTAGGGAGCAGGCCAGGCACCCGACCCCTGTCCCGGGACCCAGCACTGAGGTGCCCAGCCCCAAGCTGCCCAGAGCGGCCAGACTCCCAGCGTCGCCGAGTGAGATAAAATTCCCGCGGTGAGTGCCAGGCCGAGCCGGCCGGTCACTCTCCGCACCCCGCACCCACGGGGGAGGAGCCGGGCGCTGGGAGCTGAGGGGCTCACCACGGAGTCCCCCAGGTGCACAGTGAGGCCAGGCCTGGCTGGTGCCGGCAGGGCCTGGTCTCGGTGAGGCCCCTTGCCCACGAGAGAAGGTTCTGGAATCAGAGCCTCCGTGGGAAAGGCAAACGCCGGAAATCCAATGGAGGCTTCAGGCCCTGACCCCATGGGACACAACCCGCTCTCCTGGCGAGGAGCTCGGACAGGACACGGCAGCGCCCCCTGCCCACACCCGCTTCCTCCCGCAGCACCCCGCTTCCTCCCCCAGGCCCTGACGGGGCAATTGGGGCGACCGGACCGCACCCCGCTTCCTCCCCCAGGCCCTGACCGGGCGAATGGGGCGACCAGACCGCACCCCGCTTCCCCCTGCAGACCCTGACGGGGCGAACAGGACCGGACCGCACCCCGCTTCCTCCCCCAGGCCCTGACGGGGCAATTGGGGCGACCGGACCGCACCCCGCTTCCTCCCGCAGACCCTGATGGGGCGAACGGGGCGACCGGACCGGGCGGCGGGAACCAGCGGGCGCCCAGCTCTGAAGCGGCACCGGGAGGCTGTGGCCGTGAGAGCAGAGGCAGAGCCGGCCGGGAGAGAGGAGCTCGGGAAGGAGCCGCCGTGGACATGCAGGGGCCTGGCGCCCGCGCTGGGGGCATTCTCTGCCCACCCCGGGCGGCGGGGGAGGCCTCAGCCCTGCACCTCCAAGTTCAAGCCTCAGGACCCTGGCGGGGCCGTGAGCCCCATGCCAGCTCCGGTCCCTGGGAGAGAATGCCCGTCGGAGCCCCGGCCGCTGGGTGCCAGGCCTGACGAGGCCGGATTCTCCCCACTGAGCAAGGGGCTCAGCCTGGACCTCCCGGTGCGGCTGCTGCGGGCGGAGAGGGCCAGAGGCTGGGGAGGGGTGAGGCCCAGACTTCAGCGGGGCCGGAGCCTGCGGGGAGGGCAGCCTGGCGGGCGAGGTCACTCTGGAGCAGAGCACCGGGGGGCGGGGGGCAGGAGCTGGGGAGCTGCCCCGGAGGTCAGTCATCCGGGCGGCCGGCCAGCAGCTGACGGGGGAGCGGCAGGAGGAAGAGCCGGCCGCAGGCGGAGGGAAGCGGCGTGCAGTGGGGGAAGGAGAACCGAGCCGGCAGCTGCCATTGTGCAGGCCACGGGCGGGCCGGGCACAGCGGGCCGGGCACAGCGGCAGCCCTCCTCGGGACAGGGGGCGTCCTCCTCGCTCCCCCACCGCTCCCGGGAGCAGGCAATCCCTCCCGTGGTCACCAGCCCCCCTTTTCAGAAAACAGAGTCAGAGCGGCTGCCGGGAGGCAGGGAGGGGCTGGCAGGCCTGGAGCGTGGGTCGCCCGCAGGCCTCTCCTCAGCCAGCACTGCCAGGGCCCCGTGACTCCCCCGAGTTTATTTTTGTTATTTTTTCACTCTTCCCCAGGATATTGACATTTCCATTGATTTCTAGAAGGGAGGGAGGGAGGAGGTGGGGAGAGACACATCCCTGTGGCCTCCCACACGCACCCCCACCGGGGCTGGGAGCTTGCAGGGAGGTACGTGGCCTTGACCAGGAATCAGACCCGGGACGGACCCTTCAGTCCACGGCCACACGACAGCCACCGGCCCCCGCCAGGCTCCCTGCAGTTTCACTCTCTCCCCACGCGGAGCCTCCGGCCCCCAAACTCCACTGGCCTGAGGGGCTCCTCCTTCCCTCCTCAGCCTCAGGCCCACTGCGGCCGTCGCCGGGTCCGAGGAGAAACAGGAGAAAGGGTCCCTCTTCCTGCTGTGACCTGACCACACTTCAGCGAAACCCGACCGACGCCCTCCCCCCATGTCATCGCGAGGCTGGGTGACCAGCGTCCGAGCTGGCTGTTTAGTCCGAGCCCACCCCCTCCCCCGCAGGCCTCGCCAGGCCCTGAGGGCCCTCCCGGGAGAGCCGGCTGGGCGGGTGGAGGTCTCGGTGCGGGAGACAAGGCCGGCACCGTGCCCGGGAGCCGTGACCTGTGCCCCCACCCCTCACCCCCGGCTCTCGAGCCACCGATTCCTGTCTGTACGACACGCTAGGGGAGAGACAGCCTCCTGCTGCCCCTGGGCGGGGGGGCGGGGGGCTCCAGGGCAGGGAAGGGTGGCGGGACCCCACCTCCTTCCCACTGCGTGGTGCTGGCGGAAGCAGGCCGGCCTGGGCGCTGGCCAGCAGCCTGTGACCCCCAGTTCTCTCCGAAGGGGGCGGCCCACAGCTGGCTGCGCATCTGGGAGCCAGGGGAGGGGAGGGGAGGGGCAGTCGCGCCCACAGTCCTGTGCTGGTGGGGGCCTGGCTGCTCGCTCTGGGGACAGGGAGTCTGGGAGGCGGCGGCTTTCAGTGTACAGGCACTGCCGCTCGCCCAGCCCCGTTCCCTGGACGGTTCCTTCTCTCTCCAGATGCGCCTGCCTACCCCACCCCTCACCCCTGCCAGGCTGGGAGCCGACTCCTCCGGGCAGCCGCTCAGCCCACGGCTGTCTGAGCAGCCAAGCTGACCAGGCCACGTGCCCTGGCACCGGCTCTGGGGCCAAGCCCAGCCAGGTCTGCCCGCAGACGGGCCCTGGTCAGGGGCTGAGCCGCAGCACAGCTGGCAGCGGGCAGGTCCTCCCGGGCCCGCAGAGGCCCTCACCCCGAAGGCCACCCCGGACCGGACCGGACCGGACCGGACCGAGCTTCGCTGGATGGGCTCCGGGCCCGCAGGGACCAGCAGCAGCAGAGCAGCCTCCGAGCACGGGAACCCGTGCTTCACCCTACAAACGTCCCCTGGGCCCCCCGGGCACAGGCCCGCCTCGGCCTCTGCGGGTTCAGCAACAAGCCTCCCTGAAGCCCGGACTCTGGTGCAGGGGTCACTCCACACACCAGGCCCAGAGCGGGAGGGGCCTGGGCGAGGAGACGGCGAAGGAGGCAGAGTGTGTGTGTGGGAAGGAGGGGCGGGGAGGGGACCTGAACTGCAGGCCGCCTCCTGCTGAGGGGAGTCTCCGGGGCAGGAAATCGGGCCAAGCCCTGAGGCAGCCGAGCTGAGGGCAGAAGCATGGGGAGCAGCAGAGCCGAGGTCCTGGGGCCAGAGCCCGCGGCCGGTGCACCCCGGAGGCTGGGCCTGGGTGGGAAGCCGGGGCAGGCTCTGAGCGGAGGGGCCGGTCGGACTGGGCTCCTCGGGCTGCGGGTGGGGAACGGCTGAAGGAGCCAGCAGCAGGGCCGGTCCCAGTGTCCTGGCGGGGAGGACGGCCCGGTGGGTGCTGAGGCAGCCAATGCAGGCACCCGGAATGCCAGCTGGAAGGCAGCGCTGGGCAGAGCCGCCTCACCCGTGAGCACTTTGTCCAGCCAGGGCCTGGCGCCGAGGCGCTGGCAGGTGTGGGGAGTGGACACGGGTCCCGTGGCTCCTGCGAGGGCCAGGCAGCTCTCAGCAGGTCTCTGGGGAGCGATAAAGGGGGGAGGCCACGAGGGTGCTTGTGTGGGAGCTCCCACAGGGCAGGGAGGGGCCCAGGCAACAGGACCACGGGCAGTGGGCGCCCACCAACCAGAGCCTGGGGCAGGCCTGTGTACACACACACACACACTCTCACACACACACACACACACACACTCACACACACTCACACAGACACACACACACTCACACAGACACACACACACACACTCACACACACACACACACACACACACTCTCACACACACTCACACACACACACAGACACACACACACTCACACACACTCACACACACACACACACACTCACACACACTCACACACACACTCACACACACACACACACTCACACACACACACACACTCACACACACACACACACACTCACACACACTCACACACACACACACACACACACACACACACTCACACACACACACACACACACACACACACACACACACACCCCCCTGCAGGAGTGTGTGCTGATGGGACCTCCTTGCTGCTCCACAGGCGGGGCTGCCACCCGAGGGACAGCGGGCAGGAGGCCGTTGGGTCCCTCTCACCGCCACCTGCCCGCCTCCCACCCCGTCCGCCGGGCCGTTTGTCCAGAGCACAGAGGCAGAGGGCAGCAGGGAGAGGGCAGCTGCCACCACGCCAGCCGCTGCCGCCAGCTGAGCCTTCTTTGCCTGACACCCCTGAGGGGCCCTCGCCCCCTGCCCTGCGGAGGCCTGGCCTTATCTGGGGCCCCACGCAGGCGCCACGCCTGTCCTGCCCGGAGGAGCCCAGAGGGAGTGTGGGTCCGGCCTGGCAGGGGCGGCACCAGCCTGGTATCTCCTGCAAGGTGCTGGCTGCCCCACCCTCACCAGAGGGCTCCGGTCCCAGCCGGCTCCCTCCTCCCGGCAAGGACTCAGCCAGGCCGGGTCCTCTCCCCCCACCCCGCCCCCGGCACGTCCCTGACCCTGCGCAGGGCCCTGGGCTGTCCACAGCCGCGGGCGCGGCCTCCGGAGGCCGCGGGAGCCACGGCCCGGCGCTCACCGGCTCAGAGTCGAAGCACCTGCTGGCCACCGGGTCGGCGTCGGGGGCCTGGGCATCGAGGCTCTTCCTCAGGATCATCACCATGGCAGGGCCTCAGGCGCGGGGCGCGGCCCCGGGCGGGCGCCTCCCAGGGGCAGGTCAGCAGCGGCGCCCCATCGGCCGCTCCCTGCGAAGACAGAGGCAGGCAGAGGGTCAGGGCGGGCAGACGGGGGCCGAGAGAGCTGCCCGCTCCCCCCACGCCGGACCCGCCTCCGCTGAAGGCCAGAGTCCCCTCTCAGGCCCCGGCCACCACCGTCCCACCTTGAGGGTCTCCCCAACGCCACCACCCAAAGGAAACCCTGAATATCCTTCAGCCACGTGACCCTCCCAGACTGCTGCTCCCGAGCGTGGCACCATGCGGAGCTGGCTTTCCTGACAGGCCAGCCTCACAGCCGGCCCCGGGCGGCACAGGCCTCCGCAGGCCCCCACACGGAGCAGGAGGACACGTTCCCACCACGGCGGCCACGCCGAGGGAGTCTCAGTCGAGCAGCTGCGGCTCGGGTCCGAGCCTCCGTTTCCCTCTCTGAGGAAGAGGGCGAGGCTGCCTCCGAGGGCCAGTCACGTGGAAACGGCCCAGGCCCGGGCGAGGGGGAGGCCCCGCTCCCATGAGGGACGGCCCGGCGGAGTCTGCGGGGCCCGAGCCTTCCTCAGCAGCGGACACCCAATTCTTAAAGGGAAATTCTATCGACTTTACATATATATATTGTGCCCAGTCAGCACGGCCACGGTGAGCCTGAGAGGGCGGTGAAGGACGGAGAACAGACAGACGAGAAGAAAGCTGGGGCTGGGTGGGACCCCGCTCTCTGATGGAGAGACAGCGCCACAGCCTGCAGGCCGAGTCTCCATTTTACAGCAGATCCCACGGGCAGAGGAAGGGCCTGGTCATGTTCTCGCGGGCTTCGATCCGCTCCACCACACGCACCTGACCCAGCCTGTTTACCCGCTGCTCCTCCCGCAGCCCCGTCACTCAGCCACGTGGGCCACAGGTGCGGACCATAAGGGCAAGCTCACGAGCACAGCCTTTGGCTGTCGCTGTGCTGGGACTTGCACGTGGCTTCGCCACGAGAGGAGCTGCCCTCTCCTTAGCCCCAGGCCTGAACCTGTCCGAACGCTGTAGCCGCTCCCCACAATATGTAAATCTTTACTGATTCCAGAGAAGAAGAGAGAGGGAGAGAGAGAGAAACATCAGTGACGAGAGAGAGTCGTGGATTGGCCGGGGAGCTGGGGCAGGAGCGCCTGGGCAGCTCCAGGGGGTGGGCTGTGGGAGACTCACAGCCAGAGTGCTCACCCGGCTCCCACGAGCATGCGACGGGTGAGGGCGACGGGTGAGGAAGCGGCTCAGAGAGGCTGAGGGGCCGGACTGAAGCCACACAGCAGGCACGTAACGGACCTGCCCGAGCGTGGGCACGCGCACCTGAGCCCAGCCCCGCCCCAGGAAGGTGCCCGCCAGGTGGTTCTACTCCCGGGCTCGTCCTTCAGCCAAAGGCCACCCAGGCCCACCGGGGGGACGGGCCAGCAGCGCCATCGCTGGCTGTGCAGGCCGCCCCGTGCCCCTGGCTGAGGAGGTGCTGGGCCCCCAGGCCCTCTGAACGGCGGGGCCGCCCGGGGACCTGAGCTGCTCGCCTCGGCCTCTGGGACCTCACGGCCGCTCTCAGGCGTCGGGGGGACTGCCTGTGGTTCGGGCAGTGACACTCAGAGGAGGAGGATGGCGCGGGGACAGGGAAGTGCTGAGATCGGAGCCCAGACAAGCGCGGGCGTGGGAGGAGGCGCCACGCTGCTGTGCGGACCCAGGCCGGCCGCCTGCGGGCCTGTCAGGAGCCGTCCGTTACCCGGCGCCCGGCCGAGGGCCTCGCAGGCCCTCCCCGGTCCCCGCCGCTCCTGCCACTCGAACCCCTGAGCCCGGTGGGGAGGAGCGGGCCATGGGCCGGGCCGGCCGAGGGAAGCGAGAAACGCAGGTGTGTGTGTGTGTGTGTGTGTGTGTGTGTAACCAGCACCCACACTGCCGCCTCCAGCCGGGGGCGGGGGCGGGCGCAGAGGCAGCAGGGGCCGGAGCTGATCTACGGAACCCTAAGCCACGTCGCCTAAGATGACCATGACCTGGTCTTCGGTGAGACCCACTGCCAAGCACAGCGGGAAAACAAGAGGGTGGACAAATTAAAAGCAGCACCGGCTGGAGACGCCAGTGAAGGGCGCACGGCCTGGCAAAGGCGGGCTCCTGCTGCTCTGCCTCCGCGCCCGGGAGCCGCGCGCGAGGGGCTCAGGCTGGTGACGGCCCTGGCGGGGTGACCCGGCGCTCCCCGCCCGCAGTGGCAGCGGGAGCTCAGACACCCCACAGCGGTCGCCTCTGTCTGTCTCCCGGGACGCCCACAGCCTGCGCCGCGGGCCACCGAGCGCCAGCGGACAATACGAGGATTGTGCGCCCTCTCGGGCGGGGTGGGGAGCACACGGCCCCCACGATTGTCCCGGACTCCCAGTCACCGGCATGTGACCCGCACACGCTCCCACGTCACGGGAGCACAAAGGCGCCGGCCGGCCGGCCGGGAAGGAGGGCACAACTCGGGCCTCGGCCGCGGTGTCCGCCCCGCGCCCACGTGGGGGGAGGGGAGGGGGCTGGAGGGAGGGCGCTCTGCACACACAGCTGCAAAGCCGGCGGCGTGGCAGTGGGGGCGACCAGGCCCCAGCTGGCCGATGGAAGCCAAGGACACGGGACAGGCAGGAGTGGGTTCACTCAGGGCGCAGAATAGCGAGGTGGCCCCATCCTCCCGGGCTCAGCCCATCCCCTCCCGGCAGGCTGTGCCTCGGTTTCCCCCGCTGTGACACGGGCTCCTTCCTTGTGGCTGCAGAAGCCCAGGCTGGCTCAGCTGCCAGCAGGCGGGAGAAAGCACGGGCAGAGCCATTGGGTCTGGGGGTGGCGGGGTGCCCGTGCCCACCCTCCAAGGGGACACGGACCTCAGTCAGGCCAGTGCCGGGGTCTATTGTGGCTGCCGGGACGAAACACCATAAACGGGCGGCCTCTCCGTCCTGGAGCCGGGGTCCGAGGTCGAGGTGAGACCTCTCCTTGCTGATGGTCACCATCCCCCCGCCCCCGTGTCCTCAATGGAACAAGGGTGAGGGCTCTCCCTGGGTCCCTTTTATAAGGGCACTAACCCCACTCGTGGGGCTCCACCCTCATGACCTGGTGACCTCCCGAAGCCCGCCTCTCACACCACGGCCTTGGGCATAAGGCCTCAGCCTGCCGATCTGGGAGGGACCACGCCCTCGGCCACGGAAACGGGAATAAAGACCTTTGGGCATCCAGGCCCGGAGTGTGTGCCCTCCACAGGGCGGGCTCCCAGCAGGGCAGGCACCCCGGTGCTGGCTGGGGCCGCACAGGGCGCCCGTCCCCTTCCATGACACCGGCCTCAGCACCGCCCTCTCCCCGATGCCGTGGTTCTCAGTGTGGCCCCCACACCCGCGCAGCCTCGCGGGGGCCACACAGAGCGGCTGCGGGGACACCGGGCGCTGCCGGCTCTCTGACCTCCAAGACTCTGTTCCCTGCTCCCGCTTAGCCCCGGCCCCCAGGGAGGCCAGGAGCCTGGTCCAAAGTCGGATGCAGGCAAGTGGCAGGACCGAGCCCAGGGCCTCGGTGTCCTGGGTCCACGCCCAGCCGCCCCTCCTCCGGCTTTCCCAGCGGCCGGCAGCCTCCCAGCACCCTGCCTGCCCGGTGGGCTCACAGCGCGCCTTGTCCTGTAAGGCTGGCTCTTAGTAAGAGACCATTAAGCACCACACAGCAGCCCAGACGGTGCGGCTCAGGGGCGGGACATCGACCCAGGAGCCAGGCGGTCACAGTGCGATCCCCGGCCAGGGCACAGGCCGCTGGTGGGCTCCATCTCCTGTGCGGAGCGTGCAGAGGGCAGCTGGTTGACGACTCTCTCATCGTGGATGTTTCTCTCTCTCTCCCTCTCCCTTCCTCCCTGACATCAATCAAAAGGTATTTTAAGAAAAACAAAGCAGCTGAAACCGGTTTGGCTCAGTGGATAGAGCGTCAGCCAGCGGACTGAAGGGTCCTGGGTTCGATTCCGGTCAAGGGCATGTACCTTGGTTGCGGGCACATTCCCAGTAGGGGTGTGCAAGAGGCAGCTGATCGATGATTCTCATCGATGTTTCTAACTCTCTAATCCAGGCGTCTTCAAACTGCGGCCCGCAGAGGAGTCTGATCCGGCCCGCCAGGTTTTTTGGGCAGTGAGCACAGCCGAGGTGTTACAGTAGGAATTAGTAGTTCATATAGTCCGGCCCTCCAGCTCTCTGAGGGACCGTGATCTGGCCCCCACTTTAAAAAGTTTTGAGGACCCCTGAATCCCTCTCTCTTCCTCTCTGTAAAGAATCAATAAAATATATATATATTTTATATATATATATATATATATATATATATATATATATATATATATATTATATATATATATATATATATATTAATATATATATATGTTTTTTGTGTTTTTTTAAAGAAAAACAAAGCAGACAGCCTCTTGAGGGCTCCGAGAGGCTGTGCCCTCCCGGCTCCTGTTCTGTCCACCATCCTGGGGCCCTGGTCACCACCTGGGACTATGGCCACCACAGCCGTCCCTCACCACGCAGGAGGCTGTCCACGGGGCTCCCCGCAACGGGCCGGGTCGGAGGGGGTTCAGGTGCCACGGACCCGAATGCAGATCCCGCCGGCACCCTTCATGGCGCTGCACCCAGCACGGTCTGACCCCAGACACACAGGGAGGTGTGCGGCCAGGACCAGGCCACCTGCACTCACTCGCTCACTCTCTCCTCAGAACTGAACGCCGATGAGCAAACCCCTGCAGGCACCCGGCACCCCCACCCGTGCCCATGGTTTGCCTCGCTCCACCGCCGGCTGGGTCACGTGCCACCGGCCCGCCTGGCGTCCGGGCTGGCGTCCGAGGGCGTGGGGGCCACCGGCGTGCCGGGCGCCGGGTGACCCGGCAGAACATTCTCGCGTGTTTGTGTCAGCAGCGCCCCCGCCCTGCGAGGGCTTGGTGAGAACACGCCTCGACATGCCAGCACGGGTACTCCTTTCGCTTTTACAGCCGGGTGGGGAGCCTCTTTCCTGCCAGGGCCGTCTGGATGTTTATCACT